GCCTTGTATCCAGCACTGGGGGCTGGACGTTATTGGAGACTGCTCCTGTCACTCATGGTTCACCTGTGGCTGATCACTGATTAGCCAGGTATAATACACTGCCTCTCCCAGAAGACAGTGTCAGTTCATTGACTCTGGTTGCTGTTTCACGTTCCAGTGTTCTCCTGTTGATTCCTGACCTTGGCTTGTTATTTTGTGTACCCTGACTTCTGGCATCCTCTGACCTCGGCTCTCTACTGGTTTATCCTGATTTCTGGCACCCACTGACCTTTGGCTTACCAACAACGATTCTCCAGTTTATGTCCGTATCTGTACTGCGACTTGGAGCATCATCCTGCACAGCCCCCGTGCACCGACTCACAGGCCAGGTGAATTCTTACCTAACCACCTTGGCTTGTGTTTACTTGCAAGGGTGAGCACACAGACTCCAACTCAGGTAAGCCCTGACAGAAAGTGAGTTAGACAGGTAATGGTAAGCCTCTCAAGAATGTTAGAAGTTAAGGAGAGTAGTGGTATGAGATATGATAAGAGAGAAGTTAAAAATATGCTTTTGGGATTGGACCAGACTGGGGGAAAGAGATTGGATAAGGTTAGACTGGATGGAGAAGTATTCAAACTTCTTGTTCAGAGACAGGGGGAAATGGGGAATGGAAGAAGGAAAAGAATGTAAGCTGGAGTTGGAAAAGAGGAAGAATGAGGTTGCTTTCCTAATTTAATTAAATTTTGTCAGTATAGTGACATGAAAAGTTATTAGTTATTGTACTTTTGTTTCACATTTTTCTCTTCATACTGTACATGTTTCTCTAAAGCCTAATGAAAATATATTTTTCAAAACCAATAAATGCATATGCAATACAACAACCATAACAATGTAGCACTATATTGTCAGATATTAAAACCTGTAGACCTGGGAGTGGATCTAGCACCCAAGCGAGACAGACATGTTGAGCAGTAGCTCTGTGCTCATATACCAGAATACTGGGCATATTTGAGTCTATCCCTTACATACTGGCCTTAATTGGTGTGCAAACAGTGTGGGCACAGATGGGGGGAAAAGAAATACCAGTCGAATCTCAGTTCTGGTTCTCAAGATATAGGGATTTTCTTGAAGCAGTCTTTCCAAGATGACACATGAGGACACCTGCTCCTCACCCTCACCAGAGGCAGATGCCTACTTATGGAACTACCAGCCTTCTCACAGGCACATGCGGTCCAGGAATGGTCACAAATTCAAGAAGAAAATACTCCCTTAAATAAGGCAGACGTCAAGGCCCCGTTAGAGTAAGACATAACTAGGGTGATGGAGAAGATCCCTATGCTAAATAGCTGCTTTGTGCCAATGGAAGAAGATGTGGGGAGTGTCAGGGTGGCACAAACAGTAACAGATGCCACCATAAGTTCTTTCCAAACTTTTTTTTGCCTTCTTTTGGATCAACAGCAAAAAACAAATGTGAGGAAGGCTGAGCTTGATGGACGCAAGTCTCTTTTCAGCTATGTAACTATGTAACATTGTGCAGAATTTACTGCGCGGATAACCAATTTGAAGTTCAGTACAAAAGTCTGGAATGTAAGGATCGGGTGGATCGCTGAGACTATTACAACTGAGGAGCTCCCTCACTGTGTTTGATGGCTCCTCTCCACTATGATGACCCAGAGACAAGCTAAACACACAGCGATAGCCACATGCTTTCAGCTTCCCAAGGTCTAGAAGCCTCCAAAGGATGCCCCATGAGATGTAATGCTCTGCTTTATTCAGCAGTCTGATCAGGACACTCTTATGGGTGCTGCCAGCAATTCTCCATAGATACCATTTGAAGGCTCCCAGCTGACTATTTATAGGGACCTATCCTGGCAAACTATGCTATGAAGACAATTGCTTGGGCAGGTTACTCAAATGTTTAGCGACATATCCTTATATCCGCTATAAGTGGGGCGGAAAAAGGAATCAAGACCACATACTCTCATAAATATCTGAAGCACTGACTTTCCTTTGGTCCATGGGTTTGCCAGTAAAGGCTGCCTCAGAACCTGTCCACACTGCATGGGCAGTGGAGAAAATTACCCAGTTCACGCCAAGCACAGAGCTGCACCTTACATGAGTTGAGGAACTGCATCACCTGTCTCTATTCCATTTTTGTTTTCAAGTGTTGTTGTTTTTTTCCTTTTTCATTTTTAATGCAGGTTTTGTAAGTTGTTAGATAATGATTGATGTAAAATTAGATCTTCCACCCTTACATATTCACCTAAAGTGCCATTTTGCTTTTGAGTACATGGTTTTTCAAATACCCATGTTAACTTACACTTTTTATTTAGGTTGCAATGTTGATAACAAGTTGGGGGCATGAGCTATAGAAATATTATTACAAAATAGGGTTACTTCATGATATGTGAACTGTGTCATATCATGCCATGTTCTGCGGAGATGTCTGGCTTTGGCTTCTGGTATCCAGTACTCTTTTTGCTGTCCTTGCTTGTTTTTTCTGGTTTTCTGGTCTATGTCTGGTTTTCTTTGTTGCTGGGTTTCTGGGTTCATTCTTATATTCCGTCCCTGGATTTCCCAGTCTCTTGGATTCACTTAAATGTTTGTTTTATGTTGCCACACCCGTTTGTTTTCCACTTTCCTTTTGTTTCAGTCTGGACCTGCAGCAGTGTTTCAAGTCTCTGCCCTTTCTTGCCGGGAAGTGCTATTGTGGTTTAGTGTGGTTGTTTTAGCATACATTAGGCAGTGTAGGACCTGCCAGATATGGGGTACATTGGCGTTGTTGGCAGGCTTATGCAATGTATGATCATATAATGTGACTAAATCCCCATATTTTCCATATATAGTGCTTAGTTATGTCTCCTTTTGTTTTACCTTGTATCTCGTCTTGTTTTATTTTAGTCTCGTCTTGTTTTATTTAGTCTTGTAATCCCAGTCCATGTACAGTCCTGTCCAGTCATGCCCATGTTATGTTCTTGTTTTCCTCATGTCTTGTGTACATGTTCTGCTTTCTGTCCTGCTCTGGTTCTGGGTTCTCCTAGTTTTGTCTTGTTTTCATGTATGGTGCCTATCTCTAGTCTTGCCTTGATCTCCTAGTTCTGTCTTGTTTTCATGTATGGTGCCTATCTCTAGTCTTGCCTTGCTTCAGTACTGGATACACTCCTGCTGCAGAGCCTCCCTATTCAGCTCCTGGGAGGTCTGCTTAATTCCTGCTCCTAGCTTTTGGGATCCGCAGTAGCTACATCAGGGTTCTGGTATGTGGCTGCACAAACGCTGGTGCTCATCACCAGGGGGCGTGCGGTTGCCCTGCACCAGGCCCTGATAATCCACTTCTACGCTGAAGACTCCCACTTCTCATCAGGCACTCAGGGGTCCCGGTTTCCGTATCTGGACCAGTGATAAACTGTTTGTCATTCTATAGCTGTATTTTGACAATATTGATTATTGCAGATTCATTTATTTCTTTTGACCTGCAAAACAATTACAACCTGTAGACCTTACAATCTATATTGTACAATTATTGAAACCTTAAAGGGTTACTATAACCATTTTTATGTTCTAATACTCTATTTGGCACTATGGCCAGCTATGTCCACTGATCTTTTTTAACCACAAACCTTACAAATTAAATTAAAACTTACCTTGAATCCAGCGCCGGGCAAAGCTCTCCTCAAGCATTTCCACACCCTGTCCTGACGTCATGCAGCATCTCTCCTTTCTCCACCATGGTCATAGAGAAGCATTTGATAGGACCATTTTCACCCCTTGGAGCGCATGCATGTTCTCTGAGCTGATGTGGGGACAGAGGTAGTCAACCCCTTCATGGCAAGCATCTTTAGTACTTAGCAGAGTACTCTTTTGCTGTTATGACCTACATCAAACGAGAAGCTTAGCCAGACACCAGCTTCTGGCAGCGTTCCTGAGGAATTATAGCTGGCCTTCCATTCAGTAAAATTCTGGTTTGCGTCCTCTAACTGCCTTTTTCAAATCCCACCAAATTTTCAGGTGACTGTGATGGCCACTGTATAATTTTCTAGGACTTCTTCTGCAACCAAGCCTTGGTGGAATTTGAGATATGCTTGGGTTCATTGTCTTGTTGGAAGGTCCATTGATGCCCAAGCTTCAGCTTGCTCACAGATGGCATGACATCAGGATTTTCCCGATACTTGAATTAATCCATCTTGCCTTCCCCACATTGCTGGTTTCCAGTGCCAGAGGATACAAAGCTACCACAGTGCATCACTGAGTCACAACTAAGCTTAACTGTAGGCAGTGTTTATTTATTTATTACTGGTATTTTGTAAAGCGCCAACAGATCTCCCAGTGCTGTACAATTAGTGGAGAACGTATAATATACACAGACAAATACAAGAGGTAGAGAGAGCCCTGCCCGTAAGCTGATACCTAGCCATTGAAGCTTTTTTACACAAAGTGCTTAGCTAGATAGCCCGTGAGCTTACAATCTAAAAGATACCGTGGGGATTTGAGACAAAAGGTAGCAGGGGAAATTTGATTGCTAAAAGAGTTAACAGAGAGAAGCAGCTAGACATTCATGCTTTTAAAAGTGTAGGATCTCACACCTGCAGAGTCTCGATTAATTCACATCCATATGGTAAAATCATTTTCACATTCTTATGCCATTCCCACTACCCCTTCTGTCATCTTACCTCTGTGGGGGTCTCAGCTTCAAAAGATGTAACCCCTTATATTTCCATAGTGTAATAATAAATTATGCACCCTTGCCGTGACACCTCCCCCAAATAAGAGACGCAGTGGGAGAAGGCTCACATGTCTCTACATGTACAATCTAAAAAAACTGTTTTCCATTTTTCTTCTATATTGAAGATCAGGAACCAGTAGATTAAATAATATACTTTATTACAATATATAAAAACACAACAAACTTAGGGGTGAGTCTCTCAGCACAACGCATTTCGACCATGGATGGTTTTCCTCAGGTGCTGGACACATACCTGCAGTCTGATACGAGACACCACGAGGCAGCTCCTTTGATCTCAAGATGGTGACGGTCCTCAAGCATTCTCCAGGGTCAACAACAGATCCGCTCTTAAGCTGGAAGGACGCCTTTTGCGCCAAATTTGACCACATCTATGCTCGATTCTGGCAACAAATTAAGGCAAGAGCTCTACAATCTACCACAGCTGACATGCATCAGCCTTCTGATGATACCGGGGTCTGTACCTCTCTTTCTGAGCCAGGAACCCTAAAGGGGCCATATCCTGAGCGCCAACCATACACCCGGGGCCCTCCACCTCACGTCTGGGATGCTTACCCGAACACCGAAGTCAGTGGACATCGTGCTGTAGTTCCTGTGAAGGTTTGGAGCTGAAGGGCAGGAAACAAGGAACAGTCTAGAGAGAGACCTGCCTCGATACTCGTGACTGTGCACCTACAGGCCTTCCACAGCACAGGCATCGGCTGACTCAACATCAGAGACATACCCTGGTAGAATAAAAGTGGTATACATAGTGTTGCTTGCTGTAACAACGTCTTCGCGCTGGAGCGGTGGTTATACATCTTGTTTGTAAGCATGGTTACAAAGCATTTTTTATTTTTCCTTTCTAAAAATGTGCAGTACTCAGGTATGCCCTACTATGTTAAGCTTTGTTTTTTCCCAATATTTTGCCTATACTGTTTTGGCATCACAAAGTTTGTATTTTGCATGCACAACCATAAATAAAGAATGGGGGGGGGGGGGAATATTGGATCAGCCACTAGAAAAATTCTAATAGAATTCATCAATTCCTTTGGTACATACAGTCTCTAGCACTATTCTGTTTCCAATAAACAAATGCAACTTTGTATCCAGATGTGTATTCACTCCAGTATGAAACAGTGTCACCTTAAATAGAAGAAATACAGTGCATAGTGTAATACTGCAGATTTATTCAGCAAATATAAAACAAACACAGAAAAAAATGTAAAGACTTATTCCTAAACTCACAATAGAGCAGTTTAGGTTATATGGGTCAGATACCTGTTACCGCTCAATTCTGTACAGTGCGCTGCCCCTTACCATCACCATGCATCCACTACAACATGTTTCGCTGGTGTGATCAGGCTTTGTCAAGATGTGCGCACATCTTCCAAATTTAAAGGGGGATTCACCATGCTAATATATCAATGTAACTCATGCAATAATCAATTTAAATCCATTAATATGGTGAAACAATATAATCTTTGTCCTAGATTAAACAAAAATTCTAATCAATAAGCATAATAATTAATAACAATTGCAGAAGGTAAAAAAATCAAGGAAGCGCAACTAGATGCTAGATGTGCACAAACAGGGCTACATACAATTTATCAAAAGCCCAAACAACAAACACTTCAGATTTTTCCTTGATCAATGCTAGAAATGTTCTTACATAACTAAAAGTACACTCGCCCATATATACATATATATCGCAACAGATGTGCAAAAAAACAAAAACATAATTAACCCAAGCCCACCCCCAGTAAAGAGGAGTGTCCAGGCACCATGAGGTTCCTCAGTCGCGATTGTCCTTGCTTAACGAGGTTGGCGTGGTCACATGGTTAACAATTATTCACCATATATTTTAAAACATTTATGAAGGATCAATGCACGTTTGTTCAAAAATGTGTATCACAGACAACTATAAAATAACCCTATATATAAAAATATATACGGTATAAAAAGTTCTACAAATTTCAAGAATTTGAGGAGAAGAAGTTTTATTATTAGGAAATCTTTTATCAGCCTAATAAAATAGAATTTAGGATTCATAGTAACTAAAGAACATTTGACAGAGAAACATACAACTAACAAAGAGAATAAAAGTCACTAACCATCACATATAGACTATAGAAAAGCTATTAATATGGGAGTTGCCTATCAGCTATCAATAAACTAACACAAAAAACTGTGTACACCATATATAATAAATAAATACTAAAGATAGAAAGGAGAAAAGGGAAAGGAGAGAGAAAGGGAGAGAAAGGAAAAGAAAAAAGAAAAGCGAATAGGAATACGAACGTCCCCATGTCAAAAATGGCTCCAAAGAAAGAAAAAACCTCAGGCTCAAATAAAAACAAATCTATAGATATCTTCTATTCTCCTAAAACCCAAGAAACCTCAAAACTTCCCTCAAGAAATTCCCTTGGATCAGTTATGCAACATAAAGATCCTAAAGAAAGATTACTATCCACTGATGAAACAAGAAATCTATCCCCTCCCTTCTCCCCCCCCCCAGAATTCATAGTTACATAGTTACATAGTTGCATAGCTGAAAAGAGACTTGCGTCCATCAAGTTCAGCCTACCTCACATTGGTTTTTTGCTGTTGATCCAAAAGAAGGCAAAAAAAAAACAGTTTGAAGCACAATTTTGCAACAAGCTAGGAAAAAAATTCCTTCTTGACCCCAGAATGGCAGTCAGATTTATCCTTGGATCAATATCAATGATGATGAACGACCATGATAAAAATAAAATTAAAAAAAGATCTGGAAACAAATACATCAGAGCTGAAAAACAAAGTCACAAGCTTAGGTCAAAAATTGTCAGAACAAGTACAAAGTCTAGAAGCAAAAATTTCAGATATAGAGGGCAAATCAAGAAGGGAAAATCTATACATAAGAGGTATCCTGGAAGATATTTCAAATCATTAGTTGGAAAAATATCCTATGAAAATGTTTTCAACAATTACAGATATTAAAGCATTTGGTCCACATCTTTTTAACCCCTTAAGGACACATGACATGCGTGACATGTCATGATTCCCTTTTATCCCAGAAGTTTGGTCCTTAAGGGGTTAAAAGGTTCCACAGAATGAGGAAACCAAAAGCAATAACAGCACCTAGGGATGTAATCGTTCGCTTCTCAAATTATTTCCTTAAAAACAAGATCACCAGAGAAAAAAGAAACAAATCACTGGATGAGGTCAACTATAAAAACGTTAAATTTTACTCCAATATCTCCGCAGTAACCTTGGCAGCAAGGAAAGCTTTTTCTGAAATCAATTTTCTCAGAATTACCCACAGCTAACCAACAGATGACCAAGTGGGTTTTTTTTTTACTTAAAAATCATAAGGCTTCTAAAACAGTTAGCGCCCCCCCTTTTTTTTTCTCTCCTTAAGATATTTAGAGATAAGCATTATTAACAAGTAGAATAAATTTATAGTATTGTTTTAAATATTTGTTTTTTGCACATATTTAATGGCATTGATATTATATGAATTTTAAAGTTTGGAAAGTATACATGAAAATAACACAAATTTAATAGGTGTACCTCAATTTGAAGTTAATTTACCAAGCACTAAGAATGTGATGATTGAGTTGATTAGAAAACTAATAGTAAAAAGGTAATAAAGTAAAACTTAAAAATATAGCCTTAACACAGGAGATAAAAGGCTTGGGTAAATACTCGTTACACATATAAAATAGGGAAATGGAAGGAAGTGAAAAAGAGTGAAAGAAAAAGAAAAGGGGCAAGGGAGTAAGAAGAAGGGAAAGAAAAAACATACTTCCCCACCATTTCTGGAAATTTTCTTTGTCTGTGATTGACATAGTGCTTGTCTGTCTAGAGAAACTAGTAGGCATTTCTCTTGCATTAAAGTGTTCAGTTATTATTAAAGGGGCTTGTGGGACACAGTTACCAACTGGCGCATTTCCCTTGTGTTTGGTTCTGAGCACTGGTTCTGTACTTTTAGATATAAAATGAGACTGGCCTGGGCATACTTTAGGAATCTCCTTATCCCATTTATTTATGTTTTCTTTAGTTTTCATTTTATATTCCACTATATGCATCTCTCTGTTGTTCTATTTCCTTTAATTCCTTCTCCAAGCCCGCGATCATTTTGTTTGTTCTTAGGGCAGCTATTTTAAAACAATCTCTTTCATCAAGAGCACCTTCCATTTTATTAGTGGTTACTAAATTAGCTTGCTGCAATTTGAGTACCATGCTTGCCAAACCCCCTATTGCAGCAACAACCGCTTGTGCCACCAAGCTTTTCCTTTTCTTAATATGCCACTTTTTATTAGTAACAATTTGTGTCAAAACATCCATGAAACCTTCATATTTTCCACAATTGGGGCCTGCTGGTTCTGGAAGCTCATATGGTCCATCATGTTTGACATTGTCATTCTTGAAGTACTCTAGTACTTCTGCAGAAAAATACTTAGTACCTAGATATGACATTTTAAAACAGAGCTCTCCCTGAGTCTTTAATCAAAATTGACCAGCAGACTAAGTAAAAAAAAAAAAACAACAGGCTTTTAACAATGGGATTAATTTAAAAAAAACTGAAACTGGCTCCAAAGAGATTGAACCATTTGAGAAACTTAATTACATTAACCTATTCAAACAAACTCTTGTCTTTTAAGAAAAAAAGCTTCACAGTCTCAATACAACAAATGCCCACAGATAGCAAAACACAAAACCACCCTTCTGCCTTTGTTTAAGTGCAGTGTGGGGGTTTACAAATAAACAGAATGATTTAAAGGAAGGTATGAGAACTGGAAAATACCTGACTGTAACTTCAGCACAATGATAATTCCCAACCATATAACAATCTAACATAAGCACCTTTACTTCATAATATTTACCTCAAATACATACTGTTCATTTTCTATTAAACACACTCCAGTGTAAAAATGGAAATGTTAACCTGGCTAAACAATAGCCACCACACTGTATTAGCCCCAATAGCTTTATCATGTAAACACAATGCTCCTACCCAGAATTCAATGGTTCAAACAGACAAAAGATACCCCCCCAAAAAAACAGTTTGCTATTTAAACTTAGAATGCAGGGAAGCCACAAAATGTACAAAATATAACATCTAAAAACAATTACAATATATTCAGTTTAGTTCTAGTTAGTTGCAACAGGAGAGAGACAATATAGCACATAGGCTATTAAAAATGGTACCAATGCAGTGCAACTATTCAATCTTCCCCTTTAATCACCAATACTTTTAAAACTGTGCATAAACAAAATTAAACTATAAATGCTACAATTTGCAACAAAATACGTTCTGTCAGTCATAATGCACAAACATTATGCTCCTATTCTGAATTCAATGATTCAAACAGACAAAAAATAACAAAGTTTGCTATTTAAACTTAGAATGCAGTGAAGCCACGCAATTTAACACCTAAGAAAACAAGTAAAACAGATTGAGTTTTATTCTAGTTAGTTGCAACAAGAGAGAGACAATTCAGCACATGGGCAATTAAAAATGGCCAAAACATCAAAGGTTCCAATGCAGTGAAACTATTCAATTTTCCCCTTTTATCACCAATACTTTAAAACTGTACAGAAACAAACTTAAACCTATAAATGCTACAATTTGCAACAAAATATGTTCT